TGTTATCCACCTAACAGCCTCCACATGTTCTCACTGTAATTTCCCCTCATGAATGAATTTATGCTGCACTAATCTGAATCTTTACAGGAAAATCAAACGCATTTCACTCACAGTACTCGAGCTGACTTACCTTTGTTTGAATGACGACTTGTACGCGCTGATTCCACAGATAAGGTACGAAAATATGTCAGGCTACGTCATTTCATGACGGCCGTATTTCATACGGGTCCACATTTCCAATGCACACTATTTTCTGCAAGTACTGCCGCTTCGCCTCTGAATGAAATCGGTCTCTATACAGTCCATTCTCTTTTAAGCTGCTTTTAAGCATCTTGTAATTGTCGTTCCAACACAGTGTGTTTGTTTAGATTCGTAGACCCCGAAAATGGTGCCGCGCTCCCACAATGCATTGCGGCGTGACGTCAACTCCAAAGCCCTATTGTTACATGGTCATTTGTTCATTTTACAGAGTAACATGAAAGTAATGTTATGAGGAGTAATGAAGTAACATACTCCATTACTTTTAAGTGTTCTGTGTAATATGTGTAATAATGACTTTTGAGTAATGACCAGCACTGATAACAACAAAGAGGAAATGCTTCCAACATGCACAAACATTTGACCCACAACATGCAGTTAATTTGCACAAATGTCTTTGATATGCTACTCAGTGATGGTGGTGACTGTCAAAGCAGAGCTACTGAGAATCAATAAGTAATATCAATGATGGAATCAGAATCACTAAATTCTTATCATCTCTGTCATTATCATACATGTGCTGTATAATGTGATAAATGTAGAGGTGCTGGCTGTTCTCTTACTCTGCTGTTTAGCTGTAAAGGATGCCTCCCTGCCTGCCACAAACTTCATCTCTGTCAATAAAAACATTCATACATGGAATAAAACCACATCACTGGATCATTGCTGGAGCTGCCTGGACTTCAGTCTTCAGGATCTCAACCAACAGCATCGACATGCTGCTCCAGATGTTTGTGCTCCAGATGTTTGTGCTCCAGATGTTTGTGCTCCAGATGTTTGTGCTCCAGATGTCTGTGCTCCAGATGTCTGTGCTCCAG